ACAACAAATTAGAGCCCAATGATTTCCTAACAAAAGAAATTCCAAAGCATGTTCACCTCTGTTAAGGTGTATCTTGTATTGCCACCAATTGAAATGACAATAGTATATTTAGAAACTGATATTTTCACCAAATAGGCAGGCTCATATATTTTCTTGGTTTAAAGCCGGCCAAGGCATTTCTTCTGACTGAGCTGGAATATGGAATGCTATCCAAACCAATAGGTCAGGATGCATATTAATCACAGCTGGTTATTTTGTTACATGGACTTGAAAGTTCTGCAGGTATATCTCCTACATTTAAGGAAAATATCCTAGTAAATTAATTTGCTTACAATCTGATAGTTGTTCATGAAATCTCAAGTTAGGTGTCTGGGGGAACCTTCTCATGTTGCCAGGCCCCTGATTTGTGATCAGAAACAGAGATTCTGAAGAGAATAAAGAGCAATAAAAGGACAGTTTGTACCAAAGTTCTGAATAACAATCTAGCTGCGATATTTTGTGTTGGACACAGTTTCCAAAATATTTTCAAAAGCAGCTTATAAAATACAAATTTTAATAAGCTATATTAAACAATGAAACAAATATTCCAAATTGAATATTAGTAATATGTGTGGAAAGCATCAAAATCCTCTACTGCCTCTCAACCATGCAGGAGGAAAACTGGTTGTAGAAGCATTGACCCTCATTGTAACAATCCCTGACTTAAAATTGGCAGATACTAAATGTGGAATGATTAGTTTAGAATCTATTGCATACTAGGATACAGAACCTGTGGATATAAAAGTACATTTTCTTTCTATGCTCTTGGCAGCTTTAATCTGGCATTTTCTCCCACCATACCCATAGCTTCAAGGTAAGGTGACCAACCTTTTTACAATGAAAAGGAGGACACAAATAAATTGAAGAAAAAAATATCGTAAATAAAAGAAACATTTTATTCCTTGCAACAATAATACAGACAACTTGCATGTGCAAAGTTTGCCGACTGGGTGTTTTGGCACACTCAGCAGCAATTCCTATTGGCTTTCAAAAGCCAATAGTGGGAGTACCACAGCACATGCAAAAATTGAAAAAAAAAACCATCAAAAAATGGTGCCGGAACGCCATTCTAAGCGTTCTATGAGGGGAAAAAAAGCTCTCCAGATTAGTTTTCAACTATCAAAAAGGAGGACATGTAGGAGGACACTTTTTGAGGGAGGACAGAACTTACAAAAGGAGGACTGCCCTCCCTAAAGGAGGACGGTTGGTCACCTTATTAAAGGACACCTTGTCTTGCATTTTTCAAAGTCGGCTTAGATTCCAGCTGACAGTATAACTATCAAATATAGCTAGCTATCATCCACATACTGGTGACAAACCAAGCCAAGTATCTGAGCCATGCCTAAGCCATTACATAAAGGCTATTGAGTAAAACATTATGATATAGACTACTGGCCATATGGTTAAAGAGAGAGTAGTTTATAGTACCATCATATAAAGCCTGTGTACTGTATGTCTGGAACTAAAGAGTATTGCCAAATCTTGTCCCAGTCAGCTAACTCAGAGGTGTACTGTGTTCTGTCTTTCTGATCTTTTGAAAGAACTCCCAGAAATGTTTCCCCTCTGGTTTGTACCATGGTCATCCACAAGGACAATGATTTTTATTTATCCTAGCTGATCAAAACAAGTAAGACATTTTGGTAGAACTGTGGTGATTGGGTAATTTGAGCCACCTAACTGTTAGCTCAGCTTAGGTTCCAAAGGAAATGCTGCAAAATTAATTTTTGCAACATTTCCTTTAAAGCTTTGATAAATTATTACCTAATTCTATCTCCTGAGAAGTGACCAGGCAATTTGCTAAGGAGCTGGGATGGCTTCCCACTATCTTTTATCATCCAGAGGTTCTCAGAGGGGAGACTTTGCCATTGTCAGCGCACTGATCAATTGGGGGGATATTCTTGTTGCCTTTATTTCCTTTCAAATTTGTGCAGCTGTATTATCATATAGGTCATCTTTGCTTTTCCAGACATCAAACAGCATTTCCTCCGGTTGGTGACAGGAAGATCCCTAATATATATGTATTCCTTCTGTGTACATGTGCTTGCTTTTTAGAATTGCCTTTCACACTTAGGATGAAGTAGATAGTGACCAATTAAAAACTTACACTATGATAAAAGTATTAAAAATGCCTATCCTTACGAATAAGTATTTAGATAAATCAAATTTGGAGAGTGGGTTGTTCTTCTCTGGAAAAGATAGGAATGTTAACAAGTCTGCTTTATGCCAAAACAAAGTCTAAGTACAAATTCCTTGTTTATTTGTTTATCAGATTTATTTGCTGCTCCAATCAAATCCTCTGGATGGCTTTAAATATTGTTTTTAGATGATGTGTTAACTCTAATATCTGAGAAAAATAATAGTAGTCATGAAGCCCATGAACAAAGATGCCTTAATGCAGTATTTAGAAGTAAAATCATCAGTTTGTGTCCTGCTGAGACCTTCTGGACTGGAGTGAAGCAGTTTATAAATCTAATATAAACCCCTACATACCTTGCAGGGCTTAGTAATTGCAATTTGAAATATTCTTGCTGCACTTAATGTATCAAAGTCCAAGAAATGCAAACTCCACAATTCCAGAATCAGATGAAGTGTCGTTTAAGCTTCAGAATCTATTTTAGGGGAGAAGATAGAATATGAGCTTCCAGGTAGATTTCACTAAAAGAAGCAGATATTCTGAGGAATTCAAGAAAGTTTGCTTAAGTGCCCAGCCAATTTATTTTAAACTAAAAATTGATTGAATTAATTTTCTAGTGAACACTCTTGTAATTTAATGGAAGTGTAACTAAAATTATTATAATTATTCCTTTAGTGAAAAAATAATTTAAGATACTAATATTCAGATGTGGTTTACGATTTGGTTTGTCTGTTGTTGTCTGCATGTCGGTTGCTTTCTAAAAATATTTTTTTAAATTATAGCTCATGGCCCCACTCTTCTCATGTCTCCACCCAATAATGAGAAAGTCTTAAGTCATGAGCTCTGTTGTTTTAAATGCAGTACTTGCCCCTTAAGCTGACATTATCCTACCATAGCTTCAATGTGTATAAAATCAGATTTTGGCAGTATTAACTTGGAGATTAGGAAAAATGTGTGTATGTTTGTGTGAGAGAGTAAAACTAGCCGTGGGAGTGTTAGAAGGAATGAGTGTGCCGTCCATTGTACTGTTCTTATTAAATAGTAACTATAGCTGTCATATAACCTGGAAACTCTTAAGGTTCATGAGCAGAGTGAACTTCACTTTTCCTCAATAAACATGCATGTCACTTACTCTGCCTGTCTCTCATTCCCTTTGCATAAAGGCCAATTTATGCTGGTCTGGCAGTTTTAATATTTCAGTGTGACTCCCTTTATATATTGTCATACAGCCACTATTCTTACATCTTGCATAACTGCAAAAATCCTATTACTAATGAGTTGATGGTAGAACTTATTGCTTCTTGAAAATTACACAGAGACACAATATGTAGCAAGTAGATTCTTGAGAAATAGTAAAGCTTACCTACATAGAGATTTTCAGCTGAAATACTAGATGTCTTATAATGTCTACCGTGTAACTTGCATGGCAACTCTTTTATCTTTGTTTGAAGTCAAAATCAGATATATATTGAACATCCGCATCACTTCTTGGCATATGTAGTGTCTGAGTGTTGTTTTTTTTGTGTACAGTTTTATTAAAAGTTTGTTTGTGTAATAATGGGCTTTGAAACACCTGTTATAAAGCTACGTTTAGTCTTGTGATGTATATTTCATAGAAACACAGAGGTTCATACAACAATATCACATCCTGAAGCGACATCATAGAAGTCTTTTGATTTACTAGAATCAGCAGGGTTGTCAACCATGATCATAATCACTGAAACTACATTATATAATATTTCTTTGTATCTAATGCAGCATAACTAGTTCCCGTATAATTAATTTGTGAGCCATCAAGGGTCCATGGTACAGCAACTAAAGATGTGATTCAAATATACTTAACCATCTCTAGTGGATCTAAAACATAGGTCCTTGAACTTAACCTTCATATTCTTTGAATATTTACAACTCTCAATGGCTCTGTGTCAAGTAAAACAGGTAAAAATGCATCCTGGTAAATCCAAAACTGCATATTCTTTTTTCTACTTGGCCAGAAGCAAACAAAAAACAAAAAACATTTAGCTGCAGATTACTTGCTAGTACCTACTTCTTCATTGGCTAACAGAGACATTTTACATCCAGAGCATTATATATTTAATTGCAGTTTTCCAGTCATCCCTTTCTTTCTCTTTTTCTCTCTCTTTCTCAGGACATTTGTCTTGCTTTTGTTTTTTTCCAGCTTTATATATTCTAAACACGTGTAACTTGAAGCCACATAGTAAAATTCTACCTACTTGTGTGTGTGTGTATATATATATGTGTGTGTGTGTGTATGTGTGTGTGTATGTATGTATATATCAATAAAAATACAACTCCTGGGTACATCCATATCACAAAATAAATCAATTACGATCACCAGGAAAATCTAAATAGGAGAAATTTTAATAAAAACCAAGCTTTCATCGGAAACTTCCGACATCGTCAGGGTTAAAGCCAGTCAATGGGTATGGCTAATTTAACAAGATGCATACTTATATTGATGAGTTATCACTGATTTTCCAGTTAGATTATTTGGGGGTTGGAGGTTTTTTCTATTCCTTTCCTTTATATTTCACTTCAGTCCACGCACCTTTAGTTGCTAAAAAATAAAAAAAAATCTGGTAAAATAAGATTTAAAACAATAAAAGTACCCAATCAGAACCAATCATAATGTTAACAACTAACTTATGGATTACTCTCTTCCTTTCTTTGCTATTTAATTACCCTTCTTAATTTTATTAACCGGTGCAGTGTTGGTTTGAATTTGTTTTCTTAACCAGTTCCTGGATCTTAAGTTTCTGCACCCCATTCTGATCTTGCCTGTATATTTTTTCCTTCATCTCCCCAGAACAACTTCATCAACCTGAGTTTCCTTAGGCTGTTTCGAGCTGCCCGTCTCATTAAGCTGCTCCGACAGGGCTATACCATCCGCATCCTGCTCTGGACCTTTGTCCAATCGTTTAAGGTAATGATCAAAGGTACTGAATTGCTAATTGAAAGTGTTTGGGACAGAAAGTAAAAATACAAAAATGTAAAAGCTAATGACTCAGGCCTGGCATCTTTACCACTCAGCCTCTTTCATTTCTGTTCAATCTCTAGCTATTAACTGTGACTCTGAAACATGATTTTCATCATGGTGTCAGTGGAATTATATCTCATGCATATTTTTCTAAGAATTCATGTTTTTACATAAAAGCAGTCACAGCAAAACCTTTGTAGTCATAGTAGTATGCAACAGGAATTAGTAAAAAAAGAGTTATACAGTTAATTATTATTGCATTGAAAAAAAAACAGCAGTGAGTCTTCAGGAACGACTAAAGTTTGTAAGAAACAAAGTGCCATCTTCCCAGTAAAACTAGTGTGATTGTTTTAAAAAAATAAATTTAGAAAATATATGCTTTTATTTCATTCTATCAGGCCCTTCCATATGTGTGTTTGCTGATTGCAATGCTGTTTTTTATCTACGCCATTATAGGAATGCAGGTAAGCCATTATCTCATGTAGAATATTGTTATGCTTGCTGCAGGAGCACTGTGATGGCTTAGGGTTGGTAGCTCTATTGGTTTTATTTTAGGCCTTTTGAATTTGAGAGACCTCACCCAATGGGAGGCTGTGCTGCTTTGGGCAAGTTTAGAGAACCCTGAAGAATGCAGAATATAGAATAACAGATTTGGAAGGGACCTTGGAGGTTTTCTAGTCCAGGGCTTTTCAACCTTTTCATCCGTTGTACCACTTTTAGGATAAGGCAATATCCGAGTACCACCAGTCGCCTAACAAGGTGTCAAAAACTTGATAACCCAAAAAAAAAGGAAAAAAATTATAAAGTACAGGTAGTCCTCGACTTACAACAATTCACTTAGTGACTGTTCGAAGTTACAACGGCACTGAAAAAGTGACTTATGACCATTTTTCACACTTATGACTGTTGCAGCATCCCCAGGTCATGTGATTTACATTCGGATGCTTGGCAACTGATTCATACTTATGACAGTGTCCCAGGTTCACGTGATCACCTTTTGCATCTTTTTGACAAGCGAGGTCAATGGCTGGGAGGGTGTGGCGAGCTCATCACTCAGGTTGCAGGGTGCGTGGGGTGCCAGCGGAGATGGGGAGATCTGTGGGTCTCTGGTGGATGGGGTGGAACTGGCATAGGCACCTTCCTTCCCTCCCTCTCTCCCTCCCATTGTCCCTTCCTTCCTTCCTTCCTTCATTCCTTCCTTCCCTCCCTTTGTCCTTTCCTTCCTTCCCTCCCTCACATTGTCCCTTCCTTCCTTCCTTTCATGCTTCCTCCCCTCGTCCCTTCCTTCTTCCCTCCCTCCCTTCCATTGTCTCTCCCTCCCTCTCATTGTCCTTCCCTTCCTTCCTTCCTTCCTTCCTTCCTTCCTTCCCTCTTTGTCCCTTCCTTTCTTCCCTCCCTCCCTTCCATTGTCCCTTCCTTCCTTCCCTCCCTCTCATTGTCCCTTCCTTCCTTCCTTCCCTCTTTGTCCCTTCCTTCCCTCCCTCCCTCCGTGCCCAGGAAGGGACAAGAGGAGGGGGACAGGCTGCCCGTGCGGCTGGTGGCCGTGCTGGCGGTGGCCATGGCTTGAAAGGCAACTGTAAATTGCTGGACAAGAGCTGCACAGCATTAAGTGCAGAGTGGCGGGAAGATATTTGTAATGAGAGAGGGAGAAAAACAGGCATCCCCTGAAGGAGACCAGCAAATGGCCTTGCCATTTTCATACACCTGTGGATTCCTGGGGAGGGGACGCTGCGAGCGGCATGAGAGTCCACGTTACCTGCACTACACCGCCCAGACCCTAGCCTGGTATCAGCAGGTAGCGGCGCATTCTCCTCACTGCGCGGAGCCGCCAGGCAATGCAAACTAGCGACATGTGGAACCTGCCTGCACACGCAGAGGCTGAGGCGCATGTGCTCTCCTCTGCCTCAGCCTCTGCATGCCATGGCCACCAGCAGCACAGCCACCAACCACACTGGCAGCCTGTCTCCCTCCCCTTGTCCCTTCCTGGGCACAGAGGGGGGAGGGAATAAGGGACAGAGAGGGAAGGAAGGGACAATGAGAGAGAGGGAGGGAGGGAGGGAGGAAGGGAGGGAAGGAAGGGGACTCTCATGCCGCAACCCCTCCTCAGCTGCATTTCTTACCTGTTTGTCACTGCCATCCATGTGCACACCTGGCCTGTTTTTTGTCTTCTCTCGCCCCTCCTCCTCCTCCTTTTACCTTTGGTGCAGCTCCAGCTGACTCTTCCTCCTCCTCCCAAGGCTGCATCTTTCTTTTTCTTTCCCTCTCCTGCCCCAACTGTCTCCTTTTATAGCCTCTCCTGTCTCTGCCCTCTCCTCCTCCTTTCTTTTCTGGGTGTGCTGGAAGTGCTGATCCTGGGGCCTTTGCCTCGCCCCAGCAGCCCTGCAGCTCCCGAGGACTCTCTCAAGGCAAGTCCTGCACTGCGCCACTTTGGCTCATTCCCTCCCCCACTACCCTGGGCTGGGCAGGGCCACATACCACCTGCCACGTGCCAATGTACCACAGGTGGTACGTGTACCACTGGTGGAAAAGCCCTGTTCTAATCCAATCCCCTGCTCAAGCAGGAGACCCTATACTATTTCGGACGAATGGCTGTCTAATCTCTTCTTAAAAACCTCCAGTGATGGAGCGTCCACAACTTCTACTGTTTAATTATTCTGTCAGGAAATTTCTCCTTAATTATATGTTGAATCTCTCCTCAATAACTCTCCATTACTTCTTGTTCTGCCCTTATCTGCTTTGCAAAATAGTTGACCCCCATTTCTCTGTAACAGCCCCTCAAATACCAGATCTTGAGCACTTTTGAAGTGTTGGCTATTCCCCCCAGCTTGATGTTGTCTGCAAATTTCATGAGTTCCCTTTCTATCCCCTCATCTAAATCATTTATGAATATAGTGAAGAGTACTGGACCTAAGACAGAACCATGGGGTACCCCACGGTATGCTTCCCTCTGTCTAGATGTGGTTCCATTGAGGACTACATGTTGAGTGCAGTTTGGCGGCCAGTTGTAAATCCGTATGGTGGTGATGCTGCCTATCCCACATTCTTCTATCTTACCAAGAAGTAGGTAGTGGTCTACTTTGTCAAATAACTTACTATAGAAAGTATACTATGTGAAAATATACTATGTCCAAGCATTTTGCTGGTCCACTAATTTAGTCACTTTGTGAAAGAATGCAATAAGGTTTGTCTGGCGTGATCTGATTTTGAGAAATCCATAGATCTGTTTTTTGACAAACCCATAATTTTGCGATATTATTAATCAATGACATTATTGCTACAACCATCTCCTTTGCAACCTGTTAGTGCTTGCTCCATATATTCTAATACAGTCTGAAGTTGCTTAGTGTAGTATCTTTCCCATTTTAAAGCAATGTTTAAGTTGTGGTGTAAAATAGTCTGATTATACATTTAGCCTAAAAATTTTAGCCTAATATGTTTTCAGAGTTTCCTTGGACTATCTTTTTGTCACAGCTCCTGACTTAGAACTAGTTCCAACCCTTTTCTATTAGGGAGGACGGATGGGAAGGACTGAAAGAGAACCTCTGTAGTAATCATCTGCAAGAGTTTCCTACATAGGGAACATTCAGAGAATAGGGTTGTCCTCATTCTTTATACTTGAGAAATAGTTCTGTTTTTATCCTTTGACTCAGTGAACGCGCCCTAAGAAACATCTGGAGTTCAGACAGGTAGATATTCCTCCACTATTGCTTTTAGTCAATGGTAAAAGAAGCCATTCTGGCTCTATTGCAGCTGGCACAGACCCTTAAAGTGTTTCCCTTGGAACAATTACTTGGTTGTTCAATTGCCATAGCAGCTCATTGCAAACTCTTGCTGAAGGAGCATGCCAAGCTTTTATCAGCCATTATTTTTCCATAAGACAATGGTGCCTACTTTTCCCAAAATGTTCAGGTTTTTTTTCCTCAGTTGCATTTGAGAATTGCAAGTTTTTTAATCTGTGTATATCTTTGTTTCTTCAGGTTTTTGGCAATATTAGCATTAAACATGATGAGGATATTCCTGAGGATGACTTGCCTGCCATCACCGAGCACAATAATTTTCGCACTTTCTTTCAAGCTTTGATGCTTCTTTTTAGGTGAGGCTCAGCCATTATACTTCACTAGGGAAGCCATGTTAAAGTGCTGTGATACCAAGAGCCCTTATGCCAGAGGTAGGCAACCTTGGCTCTTTTATGACTCATGGACTTCAACTCCCAGAATTCCTGAACCAGCATGGCTGGCTCAGGAATTCTGGGAGTTGAAGTCCATGAGTCATAAAAGAGCCAAAGTTGCCTACCCCTGCCTTATGCTTACCAAGCCTTCATCTAATGCAAAAATTAGTTTCTTCTGCTAGATAAAGCTGTAGCCATTTCTTCAATTAAATTAGTTGTACACTGTATTGGTAGCTCAATAGACAATGTAATGGAAATGATTTCTTAGTTCTACAAAAAGTGTCTGACTCAGTTCTGTGTAAGAAAAAAATATTTTATTACCACGATTCATACATCATAGTCAATAAGTTATTTTTCTAATTAACATTGTTTATATTATATAAATCTAACATAGTTTATATTTATATTCTAGCAATGATTTAATACTGTCTGAGCCCACAAGTTTCTGACTTCGGATTACTAGTTTCACACTTGTCCTCAGATGGTGATATGACTGCTCCCTCTATGCTGAGTTTCCAATGCTCACTATCTGTTCTTATTTGATCTCCCTTTCCCAGAAGTGCCACAGGTGAGGCTTGGCATGAGATCATGCTCTCTTGTCTAAGTGGAAAACTCTGTGATGAAAAAGCAGATCTCAAAGGATATCAGTGTGGCAATGAGTTTGCATACTTCTATTTTGTTTCCTTCATTTTCCTGTGTTCTTTCCTGGTGAGTAAAGGATACACAATGGGTGGATGCAGCATGTATTTGGGGGTATATGAGACCATAAATATTGCTAGTTAAAATGTCAGTAGACTATCCTTCTAAGAGAGCATTTCAATATGATTTGACAGTTTGTAGGCCTGCTGACAATATGTTTCATAATAGTTTTTAAAAATCACATTTCAAATTATCAATATACAATTAAAAGACATAACTAAGTGTTTAAGATAATGGTCACATTTTCATTTTTTTTTTTTCATTTCTGATGTCTATCATTTAATCACTTCCTCTGCTTTGTGAACGCAAAGAGCAACTAATGGGTTATATTATGTGCCTGAATAGGAGGTGTTATTTTTAGTGACACTTTCCCAGCCGCCATTACCTTCACTGGTTAAGGATTAATAATAGTGCAAAAATCTGGAAGGCATCAAATTGTACAACACCGGCCACATCAATAATCTTTTGAACTGCCTACTTGCATCTGAAGCAATAACTCTGTTTCTAAAACATTTACATAATTGAGACAAGCATCCAGAGAATTTTTACACCCCAGGCAACTGCCTAGTTTCTCTTTATGGTTGTTAAGCCCAATTTAAAAGATGTCCTTGGTATTAGTTGCTTCTGTTTCCTTATTTTATTCCAGGAACAAATAGGCAAGGCTTTGTGAACATCTGGAGCAATATAATCTAACCCAATATCTTTGTACAAATTAAGAACTTATTTTTGGTGATACATTTCAGTGGGAAGTGATTCTGTACCAGATTCCAGAGAGCTCATTCTATTTGCTCTACTTATGATTGCCCTAAAATTCTGCCAGCAATCCATATTCACCAAACAAACTCAGTCCTTATTGAATTGTTTTTCTTGCGTTTATGTATGCATTTATGTAAATCTGTTTATATCCATCTATCTAAAAATGAATATCCTTGTGTGTAAGAAAGAGTGTAAAACTTATTGTTTAGTACTGTTATCTCTTCTCATTAGCTGCTTGAGCGGGATTTTAGGTTCTTGCCAGGCCTCAGTCTGAAGCAAGAAATAAATCCATCCTTTTTTCTGGAATTTCTGGTTATTTTATATTTCTTCACTATAATTTTGATGTTGCAGATGTTGAACCTTTTCGTGGCTGTCATCATGGATAATTTTGAATATCTGACCCGTGACTCCTCTATTTTGGGGCCCCACCACCTGGATGAGTATGTTCGTGTGTGGGCTGAGTATGACCCTGCGGCCTGGTAAGGACACATCTATCTTACCACTTCCAGTGTGAAACCCAGACCCATTGTCCATCTGAAGCAAGTGTTTAAGGAAGTGGGTTTGATTGATTCATGATTCGGGATAAACTTCTTAATAAGGAGAACCAAAGCAGGGGGAGGGAGACATTCAATAGGAACAGAGAGGCAGGAAGCCAATATCTCTCTGTTATGATTTCAATTCCAGTAGAAAAGTGAGAGCTACAATTAGAAATAGTAAAGAAATGAAAGTCAGTCCAGTTAAGATTATTTTATTACCTTTATGCAGGAGAGGCTTTTGACTGAGGCAGACCAACTAGAGCAGGGTTTCCCAAACTTGACAATTTTAAGGCATGTGGACTTCAACTCCCAGAATTCCACAGCCAGCGTTGCTGGCTGTGGAATTCTGGGAGTTGAAGTCCTCATGCCTTAAAATTGTCAAGTTTGGGAAACACTGAACTAGAGCAAGCAGGTGAACAGAAGACTAGAATTCTGTTCACAAGGAAGGATAGGATTTTATCTTGGCTTGTTTTAGCAGAGTTGAACTATGGTAGGTCTTGATAGGTACAGCATTAACTACTGTGTTGTGAGAGAAAGATATTAACTGAGACAGAAGTGGAGCTACTGCCTCTGTTTGCATGCGCTCCATTGTGAGTCACGCATTCTAGCAGAGCTCCAATCACCATGAGCTGTGGCCCTGCCCTTCTGCCATTCCCATTTCCATTCCTGTTGACTAATTTCTCTGGGTCTTACTATAAATAACTCACTGAAAGAAACAGATGTGGGAGTTAATCACTGTTTAACATTTCCTTTTTTAATTTTAGGTTTTTGCAGCTGGATTCTGTCAAGTCCACACACACACCTTCACTTTAACCCATAATGTTCAAATGAACATGATATATGCCCCTTTGTGGCCAGGGACATACCCATGCCATTCCTTTAATCCTTTATAGTCTTTCCATAGGACAACTGGGCAACCATGCTAGCAACATTTGAGCCAAAGAATTAGTCTGAATTAAGTCCCTGTTGGTGGCTATGTTTAATTTTCTGCCCACTTCATAATATGTAAACCAAAGAAAATTGTTGAGCTACTAGTTTTGCATCTTGCTGAAAACTCACAGATCCTACATACTGTTGATCAGTCAAGGAAGGATGCCTAGTAGTTTTGTTAGCAATAGATGACACACTCTTATTATTTCAATCTATAAAAGTGACTTTGTGTGTATGTGTATGTATGTCTATCTGACAGGGCCTAGCCTTCCCTTCTATTGTGCAATTGTTCCTGTAAATTTGTCTATGGTTTGCTGGAGAAGAACTAGCCAGAAGGGTGCTATAAGTAGGCATGTTTAGCATTGTAATAATTGTAATAGTTGGTACCTAACAGAAGATCCACCTAGCACTATCTAGATATTATTTATTATCTGAAAATCTAGTTTTCCCCATCTGAGTACAAGTCACCCTATATTTATTAATGAAACCAATGAAAAGAAATAAAATATTGAAATAAAAGCTCTGGGCGATAGTGATTGATTTTAACATATTCATTTTGAATTCTGAAAAGACAATTATGTCCCATGAAAGATAAATGAACTGGTACCCAAGAATCAGAAAAATCTGATAAGTTCTGATTTGATATAAATTTCATTTACATTACCCCTTATTGTCTAAGACTTCTATTACTTCTCAGCTGCTTACTATACGAATGTAAACCAAAGAGGGCCAACATGTCACCCTCCAGCTGTTCTTAAAGTCCAGATTCCATAAGCCCTAGCTTGCATGGCCATAGTAAAGGATTATGGAAGCTACTGGCAAACATCTGGAGGGCCACAGATTGCCCATTCCTATTGTAATTTATATATTGGCTCCCTTCCCTTCTCACAAAGTTGATGGGAAGCATCAGTAAAAACTGATGCGCATGGCTCTAAGAAGCCCCTTTCTTCCTACTGCAGCCAATGGGAAAGTTCAGCTCCTTTGTATAAACAGAGGGAAATGGTATTACTTGACTGAAGGTCTCTAGTCATTAGTTCTGCTATGTGGTGTGTTTACATAACAGTGTATGTGTTTATTTTGCCCTGTAGCGTCTGCACTAACCCCCGTGTATTCTTCTTGCAGTGGCCGAATTCATTATAAGGATATGTACAGTTTATTACGTGTAATATCTCCCCCCCTGGGCTTAGGCAAGAAATGCCCTCATAGGGTTGCTTGCAAGGTTTGACTTACACTAAAACCTGCTAGCATTAATGGAATGAATGTTGCTTATGGTTTTTTTTAATATATATATATATCTTATATATATATATGTTTGTGCATATATATATATATCCGTACACATACTTTCTATATATTGCACTTTCAAAAGTAATTTAGTAATGTAATTAGCCAACAGAATGTGTGAAATGATGCTGCCACCCAGACCAGTAACGCATGGAGCATATCAATTACCTTGAACCATCTCTGCTTGCTGTTAGCTGGAGCTAGGCCTGGAAGATTTTATGAGTCTCTCTGTGCCCACCACTGCCACTTTCTGCATACTAATACTTCATCTGGGGAGACAGAGACTCCATCAACACTCTACCATTTCTCCTTTCCCCCTCTCTCCCCAATTCTTTCCAGCCTTTTTTTTCCCCAAACCCTTTTTCTTCCTGTAGTCTTCCTTTCTCCTATATTGGCAAAGAGGGGCTTTCTTATCTTTCTCTTTCTCCCCCCCCCCCTCTCTCTCACTCTCTCTCTCTGTTTCTCCTTCCGTCTTTCTAAGAAGACCTGACTCTGTGCTTTTTGATATACTAAGAATATAAGGATTGTGATCTGCATTAACCTCATAGTGAGCAAAGCAGATGATGACACATGCTTAAGTGAAATCCGAAGTCTTGTGACAAGGACACAACTTTGAACGTGTAGTCCAATATATGTTGGACCACAGTTCGATTAGAAACAACTTTTCTACTAAACACCATCCATGAAGATCAAGCATATTTATACTCCTTGCTGACCAGCAGCACAGTAATCTTTTCATTTTTATCTTTTTTCTTTTTTAATTGATCTTTAATTTTCTTTTATTTTTTATTTTTTGCAATTCTTTCTCTCTATTTTTCCGTGTATTTTTCTTTTTTAAAAAAATTATTATTGGTTATTATTGGCTATTTTTTATTTTTTGCTCCCAGGGGCCGGATGACTTTCATGGACATGTATGAGATGCTGAGACATATGTCTCCACCCCTGGGGTTAGGGAAGAAATGCCCTGCCCGTGTTGCTTATAAGGTAGAATATATATGTGTGTGTATGTGTGTGTGTGTTATTTTTCTAAAAAAGAAACAATAAATATTTCAAGTCAGCTTCATTTTTAATTATTTTGATTGAGCAGAAACAATTAAGCCTATAATTTTTGTAATTTCTTCCCCTTCCTCATTCCAGTTTCTTGAACAATGACAGTGTGTCCATTCAGTTCTGTTAGTGTTTCACGTTTCAGAGACTCCATTATGGCCAGTAGATAGCGGGCAGGTAAAAAACAAATCTGAGGTGCATGCTCCTACTCAAATAATTCATTAAAGTGCCACCTAACAGAAGAAACATTATTTATTGTTCCCTTAGAACTCTCCAAACAACCTAAAATGTTGAGATTGCTTTCAGACTGCCTAAATCAATATAGATTCCTTCACCCTAACCCTAGTCCCTAATAAATTAAGAATAACAAAGGAGAGGTAGCAAAAATACAAACCCATTGAAAAAAGTTATAGGATTTTAGAATGCAAAAAAAATAAGAACATCAACGATATTAAAATCTAGTCACCTACACTGCAGTGGCAAGCTACACAACAAATACAATATATGGGAATGCCTCTGATGTTCAAATAAGAAATTTTGAAGGTAAATATTATCTTCATCCGGTGACATATCTTCATAGACCATATCCACATGGAAACCAACCATTTGTAACCTGTAAATAAAACTTTACACTAATCTATGCCAGGTTTCCCCCAAATAAAATCATGCTTCTGTAGTTCCCATTTTCTCTGAATGCAGAACATATATGCAACAATATTTAGATTTTATGTCTGTCGAAATAAATGTCGCAGCACTAGTTACAACTTATCTCCAGTACGGTGCATTAATTATATGATGGCAGAGAGGGCCACATTAGTAAGACAAAAGCAAAATTAGGTGCTTGGTATGCTATGCTCTAGTGTAGTGGCCCCCAACCTTTTAGGTACCAGGGACTGGTTCTGTGGAGAGAGGTTTTTCTGCGGACCAGAGGGGGCATGGTTTTTCATGCTGCCTGCGTCCTGTGGATGGGGCTACGCTTGTTTATGCAGCCCAGTTTCTGGCATGCCGCAGCCCAGTGCCAAACCGGAGGTTGGGGACCCCTGCTCTAGTGTAGAGTGATAATATATTTCTCCTACAGTAAGACTGCAAGACTTGAATTGGATCCAAAAGATGAGTCTGGATTTATTTTCTTAAAGTGCAGAGAAAATTCAGGAAAGTCCTCTGGACACATTCTGATGCAGAACTGAAACTAGTTTGGATCAATATCAGAATAGATTTGTTTCCCAACCACCACCACCCATCCCCACCTACACCCACACATTAGAAATTAGTAAGTATTGGTGCATATTCCAGCTAAGAGTAAAAAATTCAACTGCCTCTTCAAGGCACCTAGCATAGCCCAATAGTTTGAGATATACATCATGATTTTTCATGATTTTTAATCCTCACTATGTTTGAAAACAGCAAGAAAATGCAAATAAAGCAGCAAGGTCATTCTCCTTATTGAATGTTTTCTGTCAGGTGATAAAAGTAAACATTCTGTTGTTTATTTCCTCATGGCTGGTGGTAAGGTGAAATTCCACAGCTCTTGAACTAGCAAAAAAGAATGCAGGCATTAAATTCCTGCCTTAACTGCCAAGCTTTATTCTGCTTCATAGATTAGTGTAAAAATTTTGTCTAGTGGCTCTTTCCTTATTGTAGGAATGATATGAGACCCATTTAAGGAAATTGACTTGCTGGCTGGAAAAACAACCATCCCTAATAAACTAGGGAGGGGAGAGGGGAAGAATTTTGATAGTTGGCTAGCCATTGTTTTAGCTTTTTGCTGTGACTTTATTACTTTAGCGCACTGCCTAGTCAACCCTCTGTCTGAGATAAGCAGTTTATTGAAGATGGAGCACGGACAGACTGTCCCAAGTTGTCCCAACCCTCCCTTAGCCTAAACTGAAAATCTGGAACAAATAGGAGCAGAAAAAAGCTTGTCAGGAAACAACTAACAGATCAGGTGCTGGAGAGGCTATTTTTAAATTAAACCAAATTTACTGCTAGACATGAGTCCAGTGAAAGATTCGTGAATATGGCAATGGGTTTAGTGCTCTTTGCACTTAAAAATAGCTGAGATAACAGCTGACAGTGGGGAGTAGGCGAATATATGTGTCCCAATTTGGGTCGGTCACTGGGACCAGAGATTTTGTCTTCTGAGATTTTGGATTCTTGGTGGAGCCCATCCTCAGGGAACTTCTCTTCTCTCTAGCAGAGTGTGTTCTCAGTGTAGTGGGAGAGCTTCCCATTTCATTTTGCAACTATCACCTTTGTCTGTCAGCTGTTTTAACCTAGAGTTTAGCACACCTCTGAAAGAGGGCTAAACTATCGTTTCAATGTAAAATGAAAAAGAGGTGACATGTTTTATGTAGACATTGTAGCTCCTTTCACCTGTTTTTCAGGCTAATTGATAGAAATGGATGGTCAGTTCTTTACCTTCTAGAGTTGCAATTACAGGAGAAACAGACAGAAGGAGAAGCCAGTTCTTTACCTGACTGGTCTCTGACAAAGCTGATCCATCTAACTGGTGACTTGTTAAGTGACAAGCTGCCTCTTCCAGATTCTCCTCTAAACAAATACCTGATAAATAAATATTAATACATTTCATATTAATAACTTTCAAGTGTAATAGGAAGGTTGTGCCCTGAAGTGGCAGAGAAAAATTACAGTATATTTCTCAAGTTTGACTTAGCCTTCCATCCTTCTGAAGTTGGTAAAATGAGCACCCAGATTGTTAGGGGCAGTATACTGACTCTGCAAACCTCTTAGAGCAGCGGTTCTCAACCTATGGGTCGCGACCCCATTTGGGGTCGATCAACCATTTTTCGGGGGTCGCCAAAGAAGGCGATCCACCATTTTCTCCCCTCAGGGGGTGGCGCCGCGCATGCATGCCGCGCATGGGGCGGCGCCCCCATGCGCGCGGCACCGCGCATGCGCAGAACGTTTGTGTGACGGGGTCGCCGTCACACAAACGTTGAGAACCACTGTCTTAGAGAGAACTGTAAAGCACTATGAAGCAGTGTATAAGTCTAAGGGCTATTGTTAGTGCTATTTCTTCTATTTCTCAGTGCAGTGCCCCTCACTGCTACTCAGCTTCTGTTTTGCCTGAAGCAGATCTCCAAGCAAGGAAACAACCAAAAACATAGTGGATAGTCCAGTTTGAATTAACCAGGTTTTCCTGCTGCCTGTAGCAGAATAACCCAGAAGGGAGGATTATCCTCAGCAGCCTAAAGTGATCCTGGGCAGACTGCAATCACATTATCAATAAAGTATGCTAGTTCATGGCCCAAGCTGTACAGTAGCCCTAGAGGGAAAGATACCTGCCTCCCACGTGAAAGGTTGAGAGGTCAATCCTAGGCAGCAACAGATGTTTCTCTATCGGGGTGCAAAGAGAAGATATCAGCTGTGAACCTTGCATAGATGTCAGGAAAATCATCCAGCTAGTAAACCTCAGCTCTGACTCCACCCCAAAACAAGGGGTTACAGGGTTGTAAAAAAAAAAAAAAAGCTAGTTCATGGCCACAGCAAAAATTAGGGTGTCAAGAGAAAAGGGAAAATTCTACTTTAAAACCAGAGTAGCTCAAAATAAATACAATCTGTCACCATTGCAGGATATGATTAGATGAAAGTAGTGCCATCAGGCCATGCCATATCAAAAACAGGGCATGTGTATGGCATAATTCCAGTCAGGATCAACCTCCCACACTTGCTATTTGCATTAGAAGAAAAGCTGCTATTATGCCTCTCCCCAGCAATACGTGCATAAATATACACCTGAGTTAAAAATAGGAATAATACTGTCCAGTTTGACCCTGGCAGGTTTAATAAATGCTTATTCTGAACACTGAACTATGTCTTTAATCAATATGCAGTTAGAATCCAAGCCAGTTTTGTGTGTTTTTATCATCAAGTTCCTTACCCTAAAAACACGTGAGTAATTTTTCTCTACTTTAAATCTACACCACACTGTAGAACAATAGGACAGGCAAAAATCACTTCAGGCATCCAGGTGGTACCTGGTGGCTATGCAGTTGAAGAGATGAACAATAATGCAAGAAAAAACACTATGGTAAAAGGGGGAATAAAGTTGTGAAAAACTATGCACAACAATCTTCCTTCAAACCTTCACTTAGAGCAACCTCTCCTAACTTGGCAGTCTCCAGATGTTTGGACAATCTGCAAAATTCCCCAACTAGCATCACCATTGCTTAGAATCCTGAAAATTGAGGTCCACACATCTGGAGAACCTCCCATGCACTCTTGTTGTTAGTTCATCCATCTGTAATTGAAGATTAACAAGGAAATTGGCACCATGTCAGATGAATTTCAGATATTAATTTGCTTGACTGAGAAATTTTCTGTCTACAAGAACATAACCTTATGACAAGGAGTTCACTATTAACAAGAAGCAATTACTCCTTTTTCTGCCCCCTTTTCTCTGCTTTCATGCCTCTTCCTCTGTCAATACAGTTCTGTCAGAATTTTTTTTCCTTCTGTTCCTCAGTATTTCCATAGCCTAACCCTAATCCTTTGCACAAATCAGTAACTGATCCAAAGTGTGTCTTTTCTCTCCCAATTCCCAACTCAGCAACCAGAGTTCTTGTGACATTTTCCATGTGTGTGAGTGAAACAGAGAGAAAGATCTTTCCTTCACCTCATCCATTTGATTTCTGTTACTGATTCATGGCCTAGCTATTGAAATGTTCACTCTCATTTGAATGGGAAGGGCTTTTCTATCTTTGTTAGCCAGAGACACAATGAGTTGATCGAGGTGCAGTGCAGTCAGAGACTATGAAAATTATGTAACTAATATGTATGATGGAATTACATAGAAGAAGGCAAACACATGGATTCAAGCAAGAACACTAAGGAAATAATGAAATGCTTCAAAATGATCCTCAAGTAGAGTCAAAATCTGTGAATGAGGTTCTTCAGAAGTATTACACTTTTTAATGTTGGGCTATGTATCCAAGAATTCTGATTCAAATAGTAATAAAATGTGCATTATTATGTCAATCCCTATATTTAAAGTTTCTGACATAATCTGAGAGTTGAGGGAAGTAAAATGGTTGTCTTGTCCAGTTGTTTTATTAAGGGAGAAGTCATGCAGGAGAAATTATTCTGTCCAATTATGCTAGGGCCATTTGGTTGTTAATAGATATACAGTCCTCTAGATGCGATTGCATATCTCCCATATGGTTCCTACATTTCTGAATTACTAGATAGAAGCCATAGTAGAAATGTAAAATTATCCTTAAGTGCCTCTTGCTATTGAATTTGGTAGATTCATTTTGCTATAACTTGTTTGAGTTAAGAAATAACAGAGATTGTTGCTCTTCCCTTGTGTCCTATAGAGGGCATCATCCACCTCAGGATGACACCACTTCCTGGAGCTAATAGGGTTCACAAGTACATTTGTCTCTACCTCTGGTGATGCCTAGAGAGTAGAGTGATTGGTCTGACTGGAATATTTTTAATAGTCCATTCAATGTACATCATATTTAGAAAATATTGTTTTTGTTTTTATTTTTACCTACCTAGCACCTCCTTTCCCCTTTCCACCCCCTTGCCTAGCTAAAAGGTGGGGCAAGTGAGGAGACCATGGGATTGGGTGGTATATTTTCTGCACTCTTGCTAATCTGCCTCCAGCCTAAAGAAACAGGGAACCAGGAAACAGAGTGTATATCTGGCTAGTCCTGACACTTCTTTGTAACTATAGGAATGTAGTATAAGATGTGACACTCACTATCACTAGAGACCACAGCATTTGTACCAGCCATTAGGTTCCATCAACCACCAAAGACCCACAAGATGCAACCTCTTCCATTCCTAAGTGCTGAGTTCCATCCCATTGCCCTCCACTTTTCTACAGGGCAGGGCGGGGACACAGTCACCGAGCCCACTTCTTCGAACTCAACGAATGGAGGCTTCTGAGGGCAACAGCTTGGAAGAGGGCCAACATTCCATCCCTCAGGGCAGCTTTGCATTTTGGCTCCAAGACGTTCTGGGTGGATGTCTGAGGTGGGGTGAGTAATAAATCTCCCATTTGCTCCAACTCAGTTATCCAGGGAAGAAAACCCAAGACATTTTAGGTACATTAGAGCTAAGGGGCAGATCTAGATCCTTCCTAATTCAAGGATGGAAATCTTTGGGCCAGTTATGGCCTTCAACAACTCATTTGGATTTATCATGAGTCCTCCCTCTTCTCCTAAGAGAGAACCTTTAAACCTATTTTGAAGGGTAGTTTGGTGGTTTAAAAGATGAAAATCACTCCTTAACATTAACAAACTGCTTCTAAAATAGGATCAATGGTATTTGGTTGAGTGCTTTTCGACTATCAAAAGAATCTGTCCCCATAAGGGGAAGTTCTATTTACGACATTGGGATTCAGGATTATCAGAACATTATTTCATGTTTCCTTCATCTCTTTCCCATCTAAGGCTGATAACTTACTCTCAAAGAAAGATTCTCTAAAATTCTAAGGCAATGAAAAGGTATCCATTAGTATTTCCGCCTTGCTGTCTTTGCAGTTTCTTGGAAATCTCTGGATTCTATTTTGAAAGTGGAAGCTGCCCTTTCAGGAAAACTTTAGCCTCCCTCTACAGGGGCTTGTTTATTCCAAGCTGAATTTTTCATAACTTATTGGCCAACACATGTAGTATGTTATAATCTCTTATGTTCAGTGAACCTGAATAATTGCTTCCCCTAAGCCATTTTCTTTCTTACTATGTCTGTAGTTATTGTCTTCAAACTACATTAATAACCTTTGAAAAGCAGATTAGCTGATGCTACCAGATACAGATTTTGAATTAGTGAATAAACACTATGCATTTCCCACTCAAGTTTCAGAACTGCTCCAGTTTCCTATTACTAATATCTCTGTTGCAGTATTAATTTCCTATTGTGAGGTAGAGTCCTAATCTCCCCCGTCAGAAAAGATTGAAATGTATATAAAAACACTGACGCCTCTGTAATAGTATTTAGATTTTCTCCCACTATAAAAGCATTTCATTCCAGGCCAACCAAGAATGGCCTACAGAAACTTTGATGCACAAGAACCGTTTTTGATTATTCAATGCTGGATGCTATCCATTTCAGAGATTTGACCTATATTTTGCTACAAGAAAACACATGAAATAGTTAAGAAACTAAGATAAGAATCTTAGACTGATTTAATCAGTTCCCTTTTTTTCTTCCGGAACCTGAGGATACCATAAGGATGACAAGGATAAAAAGGAAGCTTTTTCACTAGTCAGGAGGAAATGAATATAGGTCCAAAACCAACCATTTCATTTTACCTAATTATCGTGTTTAAACCTTCCAAAGAACTAAGGTATAAATCAAAGATGAACCATTTATTAATCCACAAATATCCATATCTCCACTTCTACAATTTCTGAAAAATTCCTAAGATTGTGCTGTGGAAATTAAGCAACACAATCTCTCTAGCTAGTCTAGCCAATCACTAATTTAAGTTCAGTTCACGTAAAACTTCCCTCCCAAATTAAAAAATAATAATGTGGTTGAAAATTTCAGCTTTATCTACTCTAGCAATTTTACATTTTACTCATGTCTTTATG